GTGACTTTTATTTCCCTGAAAGATAGCGAACGTGAATGGCGACCGAGCTTAAGTCCTTATAGGTCTCTATCTTTAGAGTTGGGCCTACTGATCGTTGCTTTTTTTTGTGTGTGTTTTTAGAGGCGTCTTTGATGGCGGAAGGCGGGACTGTGTGAGTGGCAAAAAAAGTCCGGAGGTTGGGAAGGGCGAGAGCGAAATAGCTTGACGCCGATGGACGTCACCCGGAGAACGCGCGAACAAAAGAAGCTCTTGGATCGATAACTCCGGAGGAAAAGAAGGGAAGCCGGAAAGGCATGCCGCGCGACGCCAGCTTGATATAGAAAGCGATTAAGTTGAAATTGAACTCAGTGAGAGAAGATAGCTTTCACGACACAAGGCTGACGCGGATGAGGGCAAAAATGTCTGGATGCGGAGAGAAATAGGAAAAGAAGCAAGACATTTTCCAGTCAAGACATGTCGGTCGGCTGTGCTCGGGAGAGCGCTACTATAGCAGAGCAAACAATCAGACACAGGCCGCGGCACACGCAATGGCTTTCGTTTTGTACGCTGTTCGTCGCGCCGTGGAGTAGGCCGTTGCTCGAGGCTTTTATATCCGCTCGGGACAGCGTTGGCGACTTGGCGTTTCTTCCCGCATCGCCGTAAAATAACGTGTCTCTAGACGGCTTTTCAACTTGATGGCCAATTTAGGTTGCGGCTGCAGTTTTTGTGCGAAATGCCTGGGCCTTATTGAACAGCGATAAGACAAGAGGCGACGGAGCTTTCTTAAACAAAGTATATTTAATGTTTCAAGGAGGTGCATGTAGGGCTAGCGTCAAACACATCTGTGAAATTACAACTTTGGCGCTACGTGTGATACTTGAAATATATTTTGTTTTGTGTACATTTGGAATATAATTAAGATAAAAAAGAGATGATGTATCAATTTAGTTACCACCTACACTAACTGGTTTTGGACATTGCTTGCTAAGAGCTTGTCTACACACCTCCTCTTTTTTTGTTCCAGAAAGTGGATGTTAAACACAACTTGAATGTAATTAAAATCAGGGTATGTTTCGTAAAAGCATTAAAATAAATAAAAATGTATAAAATCTTCTTCACTTTCATTCGACGTTGAAATCAGGTCAACGCCGCAAAGCCAAGCATCAAAACAGGACCAGGTGTAGACACCCTTTAGGTCACATATTTCACATACGCCTAGATACAAGACCAGAGCGAGTATATCATTTTGACCTAAACATGATTGTTTGCGAACGGAAATTTTAACTAATGTGGGAGAAGCTGTTGGTCTCTTTGCCAAGGAAGAAGAAAGCAAGTGCTCCGTTACCCAACCAAGTCCTTTTCCTGGGAGGAGCGCAAGCGCCCAAGGAGGTCACCGAGATCTTGGAACTTGGACCGAAGTTCAGCATCCAGCCCACTCCTAAACCCATTGAGAAACTCTGCCTGGCGAGAACCCTCGCTGACCGAGTCATTCCGGAAGAAAGGGAGCGATGCATTTCAGAGGCCGTCGACGTCATCAGAAGTAAGCCGAACAACAGGAGAGAGACGATAAGGACACGCAATGTGGTGACATACTTCAGGGAGAGCCAACTCAAGCTTCTGACTGCGGACAAGGAGGGAGGTTTCGTGGTTCTGCCTGAAGGGCTCTTCGGTGAAAAGTCCCACGCCGCCATCCTCAAGAACTTCAGGCAAGTGAACAAGATTTCCCTCAGCAAAGTCAAGACGTCTGCCAGGGATCTGTGTGACAGGCTGCAGCTGAGCCAGCTCGCGAAGAAGATACAAGCCGCCAAAAAACTCAGTCTGGATGTGTTCTTTAATGTCAAGACCCACAAAGTAAACTTTCCGTTTAGAGCGATCGTAACGGAAAGGGATACGTGGCAAAAAGAAGTCGGGGGCTTCCTTAGCAGGCAGTTGGCCGGCCTTGAATTGAGGGACCCATTCCTGGTGCGGAACTCGGAGGCTGTCATAGAATTTTTGGCGAAGGGCGACCAGTCCTACGGTGGAGGCTTTTCTATTGACGTGGAGGACCTTTTCTATTCCATCCCGCATGATAAGCTGTTCCCAGCGGTAAAAAACTGCATTGAAGAAAACGATGAAATATGCTTTAGAAATTCGAGCGGAGTAAGTGTGGAATCTTTTTTAGAGTTACTAGAATGCTATCTTACCTCAACCTTTGTGTCCTTTGGGGATGGCGTTTATGTTCAAAAGCGAGGCATATGTATCGGTTCCCGTGTTGCGCCAGTGCTTTGCGATATATTTTTGGCTGGATGTGATAAGAGAATATGCAATGATATTGAAAAAATGGGGAAGTTCACAATCTGTCGGTATGTCGATGATTTCTTGGTGCTTGCCCCTAAGTCCGTTACTGTTACCATGGACTTAATCAGCGATGTGTTGGATTGTTTTAACTTGAATTCACACGGATTGACGTTCACCCATGAAACTATGACGAGGGGAAGGCTTCAGTTTTTGGATTTGAGCCTCAACTTCGAAGGTGACCATGTTTGTTGGAAATATGAGCCGCGAACTAAGAAAGGGGTTCTGCCCTTCAATTCTGCGCAATCCAAACTCGTTAAAAGGGGAACAGCATCGTGCCTAATGAGAGCCTCCCTTGCAAAATCATGCCACCATGTCGCGGATGAAAGCTTCCTCACGCAGGTGAATCGTCTAAAACGAGGAGGGTACCCCGATCGCTTCTTGGTGGAAGTAGCGGATAACCTTGTTTCCAAGATGAAAAGAAAAGATGACGATCATATTCCTTCCAGACAACTAACAAGACCGGCGGTGATTCCTTATATTCATAACCTTTCGCACAATCTAAAAAAAGTGGCGGCTCATTTTGAAGTGCCAGTGGTGTTTTCAGCGCCGCATAAGCTGTCTCACTTGTGTTCAAAAATAAACAACAAAAAGGGAGAGGGTAAGGTGTGTCAAAAGAAACACGCTAATCAATACGTGGAGTGTGCAACGTCAGTGGTGTATAACATACCATTGAGTTGCGGGAAATCGTATGTCGGCCAAACGGGGCGTTGCATAAATGAAAGGGCCAGAGAACATGCCTGGTCAGTCAAACAGTCCCCGTCGGGCAATCTTGCGGTGCATTGTGATAGGTGCCCATGTAGCCCGGAATTGGAAAAAACAACAGTTCTGGGCAGATACGAAAACAAAACAGCGCGAGAAATACACGAGGCATTCCGCATAAGAGAGCAAGGGGTGAGTCTGTGTATTAGTGCGCCGTCACTGCACTTAACTGATAAAGAGTTTTTCTTTTTGAGCCAACACCCTGATAGACGGTATTAATAGTCAATGTTGTTTTCAATAAACCTTCAGTTGTGAGTGCGCTTCGTCTCTGTCCCCTTCTTGGTCCTTGTTTATTCGGCGCTTTCCATTCAATTTTAACTAAATGCGTAGTCTAATACGGAGGTCAAGCGATATATTACTGTAACGGTCATTCTTTCTCGTTTGTTTGCAGCATCCAATCATTTTGTCCCCGACGGCCTTATGAACCTCCTCCTCCCGCCCCCTTTAACATCGCGTTAATTAATTGAACGTTAAAATTGCTGCCCTCAGCGAAACGTACCTTTTACTCTCAGATTCGTTCCATAGGAGAAGAAAAAAGGAGTGCTGAGCCGCCAGGCCAAAAACTCTAGCACGCAAAGCTAAAGCCGAGAACAAAAAAATAGAAATAAAAAAAAACACACACATAGGAGGAAGTGACTGTTTTAATTTTTTTTTATTCCCAAAATTTTGTTAATGAAAATAAAGAAAATAAAAGAAAAATACCAGTCGTATTCGACTACTGAAGTCAAGAAAGCCATAAGCTTTTTTTTTGTTCAGGGCCTCGCTTGCGAGCGGCACCTCGAGTTGCTTAAAGGACGTTTTCTTCCTGAGTACCTTCAGCCCTAGGCAGACGACCGAGAACAGTGATGCCAAGTCTACACAGAATCGAAAAATCATATTTTTCTTCATTTTTGAAGTCATAAGAGATTTCGAGTTCCAAACAAAGTGCCCGATGCTTGGTCTTACGAGAAAAAGAAAAAAAAGCAGTGTTTTTCTAGCAACCAAATATAGCGAATCGTATGCTAAACACAGCGAAAATAGCGTATTGTCTTCCGAGGTACATAGCACAAACAAATACAGTCCTCAGCCAGGATATTCTGGCTGGTGATTAAATAAAATATACTTGAATATTAATTATAACGACAAAACCGAAGTGTAAGTTTTTACAAGAAAAAAGAAAGGACGTGCAACGTGATACCAAGGGAGCCAGTCACAAATTATGTGCCAAATTATTTCGCATTTTGTATTAAAGTTAGCGACAAGTTAATCCCCGATACATACCAATTGAACATTCAATAGTTTTCTTCTTTTTTTTATTTTAAATACGCTACTCCTCGCAATAAGCAACAAGCGTTGGCTTTGTGCTTAACAGTGTAAGCATCGTGAGTCAATATCTCCTTCCTTGTTCGTTTTTTAATGTTTTTGGCTAAATAAATTGCTTAATTTTTGCGTAAAATCCCCAGGCTATTCTTTCACGTTAGCGTACTGTGATCACCTATATCAATTTCGGTAGTGACCTTAGAAAAATATTGATACATCAGCAGTGGATGGAGGACTCTAGGAACAGAATCAGACATGAGGACTTAGTAAACTGGGACATCCACGTGTTTCTTCTCAAATTAGTTATTGCCGTTCGTATTTTTTTTAAATTTTTCAATGGGTCTGATAAATTTACCAAAGTGTTCCTAAAGATTAAAACGCGTTAAAAAGATCCATACGATCCAAGCCTGTTCAACACTCTGGTGAGCCATTTGGTGTTGAGTTTGCCTGCTCCCATCTTGCCCCCTTTTACACGAATGCCCATTCAACAACTCAGATTAGAGATACTGCGTCATAAGTAAAATAACTCAACTTAAGTATGTGGACATAAGTCGTACACTGCCCTTCGGTATTTAGACAATCCACTTGACTGTCCGAGCACTCTTCAGGACTGCTGGTTGACTTACGGCGCACGGTGACTAGCGTGGCGGCCATGGCTCTGCCGTGTCGATTGCTCACGACGCAGGTGTAGTTGCCTGCCATATCTCTAGAGGCAGTCGAGTTGAAGTAGAGCGTGGGTCCCCTGGACACCGTCAGAGCGCCCAGCCGCCACTGGTAGTCGGCCGTCGGGTGCGCCGACGCCGTGCACGTCACCTCCCGGGGAACCTCGCCCTCGGACATGTCCAGCTGGACGACGGACACATGCAGCTTCTCGGGAGGATCTGCAACGAAGATCAGACAACTGGTAGACCAAGAATCCATGTTTACAGTTGAAACGAGGAAGAGGGTATAGAGAATGATTTTTTTAAAGTTTAGAGGAATGGAAAGGGGGCAGATGTAAGGCAAACAATTGAGCCGTGAGTGAGGATTGAGCCAACGACATTCGTCTGTCCGGGCAAAGGCTTAAATACTTAGACCAGGGGTAGGCAACCTTTTCGGTGCAGCGGGCGAAATTCCCGCGAATCGGAGACGGAGCGGCAGGATAAAAAACTGGAGGGAGGGGGGGGGGGGGGGAGAGAAGGAATCAACTTCCGACCATGAAGGATTCTACGCACAGTGTACTGTTATGCCCTGTTCTACCCCTGTATCTTTCAAGGCTCTTGGGGCCCAGGTTCAGCCTCTCTCATTTTCAAGGACACTCAGCTCTGCTTTTAACGTCCAGAGACCCAGACGAACTAAAATCCGCCAGTCCAATTGCACTTTGTAAAGATGTCCTATATACAATGATTTATGCAAAACTTTTGACAGGTCGCTTCACCAAAATCTCCATAGTAATCCTCTGCTTGTGACATAAACTGTTGAAATTGACAATAGAACAAAACCGTGACTTGGAGCAGTTTATGCTGGATACTATTACCTAATTATTGATTCTTAGTGCATCACTTTTGTACACAACTTGAGCGAATATGCATAGAAAACTAACCCCCTCTTGTTCTGTTTCAGAATTAATACGTCCGATTACATAAGGTGTGCAACCGACCATGTTTCTTGCGCCATTAGTCCTCGAGAGTATGTGTGTGTGTGTTCGTGTGTGCGTGCGTGTGAGTGTGTTTGGAGGGGGGGGGGGGGGGGGGGGGCGGGGCTTTTTTGTTAGCGCTGCAGGGGCCGTATGATATGGCCTCGCGGGTCGGATTTCGCCAGCGGGCCGCCAGTTCTCGACCCCTCACCTAGACCAAACCGGTCAGTAGTTTACCCGGACAACGTTTTTGACCAACTCTCTTTTCATACTGTTAGTTCTGAATTCGCTTAAGTGGAGACACGCCTGCCACTTGCTGAATGAAGAGCCCACTAGTTTCAAGTTGTGGCGGTGACGCAGCACGCAATCTCAGCTAGCAAACGTCGGAAACACCCGTCTTCCATGTTTTTTTTTTTTTAAAAAAAGTCAGAACGCCAGCGAAGTATAGGACAATTGTAAACAAGTGTAATCAGTAAAGTAAGAATTGTCGAAAAAAGCTTGACGCGACCGAAACATTTGATTATCCATATTAGTGTTTTATATATATATCGATAGCTTTTACGGAGGACCGCGAGGCACAAAAGCGCAACCAAAGGAGAGTCTGCGGCAACACAAAAAGACAAAGAAAAGAATACCGAAACGTTCTAAAAAAACTGCTGGGCGAAATTATCATTTTTAATATGGTTAGCCATAAATTCTGGTGTTGTATAAAAACGAACGAGGCAGAGAGAGAAAAACACGGACAACACAAGTTGTCTGCAGTGCCACATATGGTCCTCTATCGCTTCGGCATTATATAACCAGAATACCCATCCTTCCGAATCCTCATGCTATTCAAGCCCTAAAATACTAATTTCTCAAATTATATTTAAACAAAGGCTTCCACAGACCCTTGTTGCTCGAGAATTCTGAAAATTAATGCAAAGAAAGAGCATTCTTAAGAACAGCCAAACAAATTTTGGATCCAGTAGCGTTTTTTGTGAAAATACGAGAGTAATGAGGGGGCTTTCGTTCGTCCCGTCGATTCATTTGTACACTAGCGGAGTTGGAAACACAAGACAAACTGGCCTGCATCCCATCTACCGCTCCCATGCCGGGGCCCAGTCCGGCCGACAGCCCGATGGTCGGCGATAACTAAGGAGAGTCCTCTTCGTCCTCTCTGCTTGGCTGCGCCTAATGTCGACGCGGGTCAAGAAAGCGGAAGCGAGGAGGCGCTCCAGTCGACAGTAATCCAGAGCAACCGGGCATCGTCCGACTGAGAGAAACGCCCTAAGGGGAGGGGCATCCTATCTCGAGATATCTCCCTTCTAGGAGATTAATTCCCAAGCAGTACGCGACACACGTCTTTTATATCAAAGCGTCATAGGCTCCGGTGGATCGGAATGGCCGAGACCTCAGAGACGACCGCCTGGCTCCGGTGGCAGATGGTCGCATCAGTGATTACTGTTCAGAACATCCGACCCATTCTTTTTTTCCTGGTTGCGCACTAAATCTTCCCCTTTCAGACTGAAGGAAGGAATCTTACATTTTTAGGGGGATGCATTCATTCTCTTTTTCATCGCCTCAGTTCTGTTTCAACAAAAACTGATACTGCAGACGGCATTATTCGAGGCCTGCGGAACCATATTCCTCTTATTCTTTTTTTTTTTTTTTTTATTTTCGTAATATAGTTGCAACTTACGAAACGGAGTGGCAGTCATAGTTTCCCCACGCTTCTTACTTTGTTATTGCCTCTTCGTGGTCCTCATCAACTGATTTCATTGGCCCATGGCATGTCTCGGAACTTGCCACTAACTACGTTTCTTCAGCTGTCGGGAATGATGTGCAATTCTGCCATGAAAAACTGCAGCACGCGGGCTTTTGATAGTAGTCACTGCACGAGAAAAGAAGTGTTGCTGGCCCGGGCGTAACCAACATTCAGATTAAAAAAAAAAACTGCGACGTCGTGTGAGCGTTACCGTTGAAGGAGTCGACAGGAATATACCAGAACATTGCTTCACTAGGCTGCAGCGGAGATCTCAAGCTTAATTTTTATAGTCAAAAATCCTTGTTTTCTATTGCATTTTCTTTTACGTGTTTCTGGTGCTTTTAGTTGGTGTGCCTGGAAGTATGACATTTCCGCAAATGAACCGATTCCGGCTCGCAGGAATTGGGGGCATTGCGGTTTTTATTTTCCGTTTTACTTCTATCTATAACTTAAGTCGTGTCAATCTATTTCGCCAGTTTACCCATCAAAAACAGAGCCAAGCAGAAGCAAACAAACGAAATATGAAAGGTTGAAACGCGGCTCATAAAACCCAGCTAGGAAATGGCGAAAGACTTGAAACGATGTAAAGGCCGCGAGTTTCTTGCCGGACTCACACTGCCTCTTTCTTTGTCGATGTCGTATCTCTTGGTAAATTACGGTTCCGTTGCCTACTTCCCCTCGCTGAAGTCGCACTACTTGTTTTGTTTGTTAGACGATTCACGTGTTTGCCTCCCTACAGCGGGCACCTCCTGCTATACGCTGCGGACGTGTTTACAATGCGTGTGGTTGAACTCCTGAAGGGCTAGAACAGATATTCCTTGTCACTGAGTGGCCGCTTTTTTTCTATTACCTTTTACACGGCCCGCCTTAGTAACGGCTTGGTGAGGAATACTGTTTTGCCATGCGAGTTCGCACCAAGACAACTCAGAAAATAAGTAGATTTGATAAGCACTACCGTATTCTATAGATACATGATACATTTTTAGGTCTCTAGAGGTGCATAACAAGATACAGGCCCGTGTCTATAGTAATGTACATATCAGATACCAACAACTCTTTTAATGAATGTTCACAAGACAACACGCCTCTATTGAAGCCTAAAGGCTGTACTTTGATCTTCCGCCCAAACTAAACTTACGCAGAATAGACTAGCAATTTAGGTTTGAATCTGTACAACGTTGCTGCTTGAAGTCAAATATTGGTACACCACGCTACTTCACTACTTGACAAGCAACGTTGCTAGATATATTAATGTTGTTGATACCGTGACGTTACGTGACATCCTCTCTTTGAGCCGTGAGTCATGCTAGTAATCGTGTGGGCACGGGAGCTCACGTCAGATGATATCATGACAAATTATAATAAAACCTTCTTTGGCTTGATGCAGGTAAAGTGGCCATGTTACCCGTAATGTCAGCGGTCATGTTGCCCCATGAGCGTATGTCACCAATCATGCGAGCAGGTAAACTGCAAAGTCCCGGTATCCTGAGCAGGGCGTTTGCTAGTAATATATAGAGGACAACGTGCCATGGATACGGCTTCGGCGCCGTGGTGGGTAAAAAGTTTGAAATTTCCTTGTGTTAAATTTTCTTGTAAATTAAAACAGACACGGCCCTGGGGTCCGAATGTGATCATCGCAAGAGCGAGTGTGAAATCTATTTGTCTCTCGAGGAGCGAGCGACGCTTGAACTTCTGGACTGTTCGGCTGAAATTACCAGTGAAGAACGCGGTTTGTCTGCCACGAAGCGTCATTCGAGGATGAAAATAAAACAAGCAAACACTGTACGTTGTGCGCTAACAAACCGGAAAAAAGTTGATTGTGTGCTTCGAACGTAGCGTCGCGGCCAAGTGATATCGGAAGCAGGCTCTACTTGTAATCGTCTGCAATTACCGGTGGGAGCCATTGGCAACCTGCGCTTTGTTTGCAAATCTCATGTGGTTTTCCTGCCGTACGCAGCTGATATGGACTGGTGGGCGAAATAATACCTAGGATAACTGCAGAAGAGTCAGCTACACCTCTCGTAATATGCGTGTTGGTGAGTCGCCAAAATAGTGCTTGTTTGTGAGCTCACGGACGGCTTAAAATATGTCATTGATAGATTACACAAACGCTGTGGCGCGACGTTCCATCAGAAGCAGAAAACAATCTTGCTTTTACTTTGGCAGAATTTGAAACCCTGGCAAACCCGTCTTCGCTGTGTAGTTTGATGAGTATATTTGTGTTAGAGAAAGATTTGGGAGCGAGTCACGTTAAATTCAAAATTAGCAGTTACAAATATCAGTGAACCAACTCCTTGAAAAAATGTTCTGCTTGCTTAAACATGTTCTAGTTTATCGGTTGTCATAATAATTGTTTTACCTTTTGCTGTTTCAAAAACCATAAAGATTAACATAATTTTTCTAGTAAGGTGATAATCCCCGTTCATAACCTCTCCTGGCATAAGCTTAGTATTAGCTGTGCATCTATATAAGTAACGTAGAACATGACGGAAATCATGAAATTTTGTGTAATAATAGCTGCGGCATCTTCTCAGCAGAAGGAATACTCCTCGCAAGTGAGCTCATTTTCGTCTTCTGCGCATCAGAAAGGAAGTAGTGGTGACGTCAGAACGCCGAGCCCTGATTGGCTGATCGCGACCCCCTATCCGAGCGTCGTCTGCTCGCAACCTTTTCTGCGACTTTCGGATGTAGAGCGAGCTCGACTTCGCCTTTCAGAGAGGGTAGACGAAATAACTCGAGCGGTACGTTGTTTTTGTCTAACAATTAGTAGACGCGCATCAAGGAGGGAAATCAAAGGACCCACTAGCGAGGTGTCCCGGGGCGCCAAGGTTTGTTTGCTAAGAACCGAGTGTGAGGGTGGTTAGTATCCGCAAGTTCCTCCCAGATACTTTTTCCCTCCTTTCGTGTGCGGCGAGACTCCTCACTCTTTAGCAGCGTCGGCGGGTTGGCGCAGTTAACGTCGTCTGCTTTACGTCTGCTAGTCAAAGCGATGGCTTCTTTATCTTTCCTGCGTCTGTCGGAGATTTACCGCTTTTTTACGGGCGAGAGTCACCGTTGCCTCGGAAAACATGGAGATGACAAGAGGAAGAGATTGACCTCTTAATCTAAAATTGAGGTCAGCGATGAAAGTATAAGACGGGAAGGGTTCACAAGGGTCGACCGGGCATATTCCATTCAGCACGCCAGCCGGTCATGGGCAGACGGTCGCCAAGTCGGAGTGTCTGCTAGGCCTAGCTGCCGTGCTCGCTTGGTCGTTGTCGGTGGAATCGTGGCCGTTAGAGCTTTTACCGGGTGTTTGTGGATCCAGCATTCTTGTTCGTCGTGGTCTATTTCAAATACTTCTTACTTTTTTCTTGCTGCTTGAAGTCGGGACGCGTGAGAAGCGCACGTAGAAAAATAAACGTCAGTCGGTCGTCGCGACCACGACGCTTTCAGCCATGCTGATTTGATCGTAAGAAATGCGTAAGACAGCTTCGGAGCTCTCGTAGGATTTCGTCGTAACCTGCACAAAACTTACGAAAATTTCGTTTCGTGAATATGAATTTGTGCTCAAGTTTTGTCTTACGCATATTTTTGGCGTATGATCGTTTTGTGAACTTGGCCGCTGCACATTCGAAAGTCGCAGGAAAGGTAAGACAGACGCAGACGACGTTGCGAGCAGACGACGTTGCAAAGGTGCAGACGACGCTCAGATAGTGGGTCGCGATCAGCCAATTAGGGCTCGGCGTTCTTACATCACCGCTACCCCCCGCGCTAGGAGCAGACGAACTTGCCCTCCGCATAGCATATATACTAAAATTCCTTCTTGCTAAAGCCACGATACTAAACCTCACATACTGACCGTTGCTAGAAGGTTAGCTGATAGCTGATAGCGATTAAGACTTCGTTACTGTACCATGGAGGGGAGTGTTGGAAACAGTCTAAGCATTTTTTTTTTCACTTTTAAATTGTCAAAGAGGAGTGTTTGAGAGATTTAATTACCCTCCTTTTACACTGTTGTCTCCATGCCACAAGTAGAATAGTTGAGAGAATGTGATTTTTAGAGACATTGTTAGGTCCACAAGGAAATTGGAATAACAACTGGAGAGAAGACAGCAGCCGATAATAATTAAGTAGACAATTTGGGGGTCACTTATTCCAAGACTAAATGTATCCAGTTTAAAATTGTGAAACCAAAACATCGCACTATATTGTGTTTGGCATAAAAAAAGCTTTAGGATAAAAATTACTTGAGTCATTCTGGTTCGAAAAAACGACTTTTAAAACTTAGTATACATAAATAACAAGTCAAACCAAAATAAAGCTAAGAAAAGAAAATGCACGCCATGGTTTTTGCTTTACTTTTAATCCACACTTGCCTGTAGTGCTCTGACAGAAAATAACAATAAAAACGTCATATTGCTTTAGGTTTCAATAAAGAAATTACGCATCGCAGAGTTGAAACCCCAGCGAACGTGTTGCTAGTGGTCGTGGTAAATTGTGATTGTTTGCGAACATGAGATTTCTGTGGTCAAGAAATAGAACAATAAAGTAAAAGCTAAAACATGTATTTATGGTTCACCTACGCCTGTTGTTTTGCAAATCAAAAATGTAATGGAAAGCACCTTTGGCATTTATTTGAAGAAACATGAAGTTACCAGAAAGAAAGAATTAAAAAAAAATATAGTGTTGCTTGCTGAAACCCTTTTTCCACGCATAGAAATGCGACCGGAGCCCACAATGCGACATTTTTCCGAATATTATGGTTAGGCAAACGTCGTTGGTTCATGAAAAAAAATTTGGTTTTACGTTATATCACTCGGTTCCTGTAATGCTACGTTTTCAGCATGTTTACATTGTTCCGTAATCTCTTTATTCAAATTAATACTACGATACAGCTTTCTGCTATTCAGAGTCAATTTATGTGCACTGACATTTTGAGCACCATTTTCTATATGGAACCATGCATATAAAAATTAATTAAAGAGCAACCTAGAAGATCAATTGTTTTGTAATCTTGCACATGCATAAAGCAAACCGTATTTAATCGTGTAATAGCCGCACTGCTTATGAAGAAAACCTGAGGGTTCGCGTTTACGCGGAGCACGCGAATTGCCAATCTCCGCAATCGACAGCATGATTCCAGCGGTTTACAGGACAGAGATAGCGTCTTCGCGCGAAAATACCGTCTGTGAAGATTGCATTTGTATGGAGAATTGGTGCTCCCAATCTAGTTTTTTGCTATGTAATTTATGCGGAACGCGATGATTGGGTGCATATGCGTTTTGCGAGAAAGCAGACGCAATGGCCTTGTTCATAAGTAGTGCGGCTATTACTTGAGTTTATACGGTATATCACTAGTCTGGGAGGTCATTCCTTGAATGTCAAATATTAATGAATAGCGATTAGAGCGGTTATACGGCCATTCAGGATTGAGTTGGGCCCCAGAATTAATTAAAATTAGAACGCACGGGGGCCAATCCAGCATACTACGAGTTGTCTTCGATGTGAGGCATGTTTCTGGCACAACGTGCCTGCCGCATTTTCAGCTCAGCGTCGGTCGATTCATCGCAAAGTATGCTACGCGATCGTATAACTGATTAAATCGGGGCTGTACTCAAGAAAGTGCTGTGAAGATGTGTAACCAGCTGCGTTTTGAGACACGCAGAAAAGAAAGCAACATAATAGGCAACGACCTGATGTCAACAAATGAACACGAAACTGTAAAATAAATAGAAAGGTCCCTTGAATGCATTACCTTTTGAAATGACTTTAACTTTTATTGAATATATGTTCGGGAGGTTAATACCCCCAGAAACTAATTTCACAGCGGGCAGAGCATTATTAACAGAGTTCGGTGTAAACAGGTGCCCATTAAATGTAAGGCTATTATAGAACTAAGCCTCCATGAGTATAATCTAAATAATACGAATAGGCATGCTATAAAAAAGGGCTGAGATGTTTTAATCAGGGCGGAACAATTTAGGATAAAGGAATCGTAAATTGTTTTATATTTGTGGCGGTAAATTCACTTTACATTTTTTTTAACTTCCTTTGCTGTACATTCTTCCATGATTGTAAAATTCTCTCTACTATTCAAATAAAGTGGAAAAAGATGGGCCTACCCACTTCAGTGTTTTTAGAGCTCTGTAGTTTTAAACACCCTCCTTAGAGGTGGCTTCTGCTAGTTTGTTATTTTTTTTTTAAGGAACAGTTCACTTATATTTGTTCACTTATATCAATTCTCAATCAACGACAGTCTTCGCGTCGATCACCCGCACGACACCCGCACGAAAAATCACTAGTGCTAGCCGATTAAACTGTCGGGTTCATTATACGCTAAAAGAGGATAAAAGGAAGCGACAGGTGGCAAAAGAAGTCGCATGGCTTAGCGTCACGCTGGAGGCATAAGGTCTCTGCATGACTCGAACACTTTCTGACTCGAGTAGAATATCCATGACTTAACAAACCATGCGGCTTTTTAAAGTACGTAGACAGGTTCACAGAACTAGAAATATATATTTAATTGATTACGTGTATACACATTTGCATTTAAACTTATTATACTAGATCGCTAATTATTTTAGTTAAGTTGAAATCGCGCAAACCACGTACACTTCTGCGGAACCTTGAAGGCTGGGTAGTAGTAAATGCATCACGCGTAACTCAGAGGTTCGCTTTAATGACACTTGTACAGCTTGATTTTCGATATTGGTTAAATTTTGGCGCCGAAAGACCAGTTGGTTGCAAGTGTCCGAAATCCGCCCTCCCCTCCACCCTCCTCCCCTCCCTCCTTCCGCTCTGCGTCCAGTAGCGATGCAAGCCGTTCAGATGTCCTCTAGAAAAGTAGCCCTAAATAAATGTTTCCTGTTATAAGAGCCTAATTGAAGCACCGTCCTAGCGAGTCCCGGGAAGGAGTTAGGAGCCATGTATATAATTATTTATTTTTCTGTAATGTGGTGCCTCCGGTGCAGAAGGCAAGAAATAAAGCGTATCGTAAAAGTCTGAACACCCAGAAAATATTCATGTGTCCACATTGTTTTTTCTACACAATGTGAGTTAATCACAAGAACGCAGGAGCGCGACAACCAAATCACGAGGCGGTAGATACTGTTCGATATTAACGCGCCATTCCCGCATAAGAAAATTGCGATTCAGGCGGAAATATCCGACCTCTGCAGAAAGATGGGAAAGACCTGGAGCGTGTTTCACGTATTTTCTGAACGCATATTAGCAACGCACATTATCGTATCTCAATTGCCAGTCCAGGAAATGAACTGATAGTGCACAAGCCTTCAGAAAAAGGCTCTTGTTCTACGTGCCAGCAAACTACGGTGCGGCAACACACTTTGTATTCAATCACAATAACACAAAGACGAGAAAGAGACACTCACATTCCACACGGAAGAGCATGCTGCTGGAAACCGGCGGACCAATCTCGTTTCCGGTGCTCTGGCAGGTGAAGGTGTTGAAGTCGAACGAGGATGGCGGCAGGTGGCTCATGTTCCACGAGAGCACCGATGCCACCGAGTGAAAGTGACCTCCACCCTCGGGCCTGACGGCGTTGCTCACTTGGAAGAAGGGCGAGTCCGCCAGGCTGTCGTTGTTCCGTAGCCAGCTCACCTCGCACAGCGGATCGCATTCGACCACGCACTCGAGCGATACGGCACTCGCGTTGCGCAGGCTGCCGCCGGTCACCGGCAGAGGGCGCACGAACGACGGAGGAGCTAAGGGAAAGAAATGACCTTGAGAGTTACCATACAACCAATCGCTCTACTAGACGTGGCTTGCATTTACGTCACAGCACCAGACATTTTGGGGACAGCCCTTTTGAGCGCGCACCACTTGAAGCACGCACTTCCTCACGCCATCAAATACGAATACATGAAAGGATAAAATATCAAGGATCGGGACGGACACAGAACTTTCTTTTTTCGTCCCCGTCCTGGTTGCTTTAAATCCTTTAATGCATTCGTATTTATGTAGCAACGCGCGTTTTTCAGTTCGTTTTTTTTTTTTTTTTTTTTTTTATCGTACCATCACATTTGTTTCACTCAAATATGACAATTACGAATGTCCATGAACATCGAGCAATGACGTCCCGTGCAAGTCTTGTACATCCACTGACAGCTTGGGAAAGGGACGTCCTGGCGCTCTGGAGCATCTCATCACCGCTGTGCGTACCCAATGAGGTACTGGCATCAGCCTATAGGAGCACCAATGGACAAAGCACACAGCAAGAAGCGGGATCATAGAAGACCAAAACCTGCGTTCCTTAAGCTGTCGGTGTCTATAGGGGAATAGGCAAAAACCCTGAAAATCCAGTACACCGGCCCCGATATGCACTCGTGTCTAGAACGGCCGGCCGAGTGCATCCTTGGTGTTCTCTCCTTTAAATCGGGAGAGGTAGCTCCTGCTACCTGCAGTCGTGGAAACGCGTCTAGAAAGTGGAGACAGCCGTGTCTGCTGTCGTAGCGAATCCGGTGACTCAGTGTGCCGGAGACTGCCTTCTCCCTCAGCGCCATCGCGACAGGCTACAGCGTGGAAAAAGCATTGCGCGCGCGTTCTTTCGGCCGTGGGGTGCCGTCACAGCTAGGGGTCGGTTTTCGTGCTGTAGGCGCGCTGCGTTAAGTAAATGAGCTCACTGGAATGATTTTATTCTAGTTTGGCATTAGCTGTAGATATACAAATGAACACGAGTGGTGAAACAAAATAAACATATGAGATTTCCAGACAAACTGGTGGCGGGTGAAAACTTATGGTTGCGGTGTCACGGGAACGGCAGGAAAATATAATACATTAAAAGGTTTATCTCCCAATTTTTCTTTTGTTCAGCCTCAGACAAACTGGCACAGTATTTTGTTGCACCACAAGTCTGATCGTAGCCGAGGCTACGGACGGAGAAGGCCATGCAAGTAGTGTCAAAGGGGAAAATCGCGGCGCGCGCCATCTTTCAGTGCGCGTGCTATCACCGAGAAGGTCATTAAACTTCGCACATTGGGTTTCTATGCACATGCTTGCAAGCATTCTAGCCTTCAACTCTGCTTTTACTCACAGTGAATCCATGTATACGCTTAAAATCTAAGTAAAATATTTTTTAAAGCTTTAGTTGAAGTAGATTATACAGGTACTGGCTTTGACCTTCGTTAAACTTCGGTCCCTAACATTGCAGCCTGTCCAGTCATCCGTGCCTCGCTGATACCCAGACAAAGGTCATAACAGGAGTGGAGAGTGGGAAGGGCACAACGTGGGTGAAGCTTTTGGACACATAAAAGTTTGTGCGTTAGTCATGCAGCTAAAAGGGCTTCGCCAAGCGTTAGTAACAACAAGGTCTGCGATGCATATTTTCTTTGGCTACATCTGCATTCACGGGCGCTGCTGTAGAGCGAATTTAATTAAGTACAAGAAGTCTCGAAAATGACTGAAGAGTTATTAGTCTATTTGTGAGTCTAATTAGAAAAAAGTTGAAAATGTTAAACTGTGTTGTTGACATAGTTTGCTGTAATGATGCACAGAACTTCACATTGAACGGAAAAAATTACGCAAAGTGCAAAGTCTTTTACCTGATGAGAACCGTGCACACCTTAAATATGCGAAGAGCTTCTGCTTTGCACTTTGGCAACTCATTCTGTGTCACTTCAAGTGAAATATGCAGTCACTCCGCTGCAAATCGAGCCAAGGTTAACCTTGAGTCACACCAAACAAATGCTTTGTATCAGGAGTCTCAACGACTTCCGCTGTCAAGTCCTTCATCTTCTCTCCTCTTTCACTAGAATATACTTGTCTCATGCTAATATGCAATCGTTTTGATGCTGACTTTTAAATAATACGCTATTATAGCTTGGTTAGAGTGTATCTTTTAACTTATGTGAATAGGATCAACGTAAAATACCTACTAGTTATTATTTTTTTGCGCCAGGTTTATCTTCAAACAACAAGACATGACCTTCTATCTGAAGCTGATGATCTTTTAAAGGTTACATGAGGAAACGCTCTGTAATGCGGCATTGTTAGTCATTCCCATACTCTTACTTGAATTCGGACCCTACCCCCCCCCCCCCCCCCCCCCCCCCTGTTTCTTGAACAGATGCCCCAACTTTCGAACAAACGTGAACAAAATGTGTCCTATGGACGTTTTCTGTTTGCTATCATTCTCTGTCATGTGGGTTTCGTATCTGGTACGCGGGACGCAAATATGATGTAACATATCAACATGAAACATTGGAGATAATGTTGGTGAGGCAAAACAAGAATATGTGACGATCACGCAGTTTTTGTATCATGCATTTTTCTTTTTTCCAGCGGCGTGGACAGAACAAAACGATGTTTTACCGCATACAAAAAGTGACGACATTCAAGATGGCTGCGCCCTTGTCGAAAAGGTGTAGAGTCCAGAGTTTTCGAAGTTTTTGCGCCCGGTCGTATTATGCCGACTGGAGACCGCATAGCGGTCACTTCGCGCGGACTGCACTGCCGTTGAGAAGAATACCTTTTCTACACGCCGTGTTAAAACCATAACAGGATAAAAAAAATGGAAGTCTTAAAGAAATCGCATAGGCTCCACATTACGCGGCGTACAACAGTGATTTCCGCAGTCCCCTGCGCTGCAAGCGCTATCTGGTGTCGGGAGTAGAACGCCGCCCGCGTTTGATTGCGAGGCTAAAAATTACATGATCTATGACCCGTCCTGAAAAGTCCTTGGGTGGTCATTTTAGCATAGATAAGTACTGCAGAAATCTAAATAAAATATACTAATTTAATCAGCACTATTTTGCATATTCCCACACTTCAAATTTGCGAAAATGGTTTAGTACATATTACTTTTATCTGGGTAATTATCAAAATTGGTCGTGACCCAACTGCGTGAACAGAGAAACCACGGCAGCCTTGTACACGTTACTTAAAAAGACTTAATCGATTACAATTACAATTAACCATGGTTCAAAATGTATTCAGTTAAATCACTCGATTCCTTGTGAAGAAAAATAGTCGTGTGCTACTCGGAGAAAAGCTGTGATGTTCTAGATTAGTCGAGATTTTAAAAACCACAAATTCCTTCTCGGTTTAAAAACGACCCTGTCGTAGCTTTCATTATTGAATTAGAATCATGAAACTACATCCCACTTACTTCCTGAAACCGCCAATTTCGATACACAATTTTCCTGTCGGAGGTTTGGTTTGAGAATTCCTTGATAGTAAAATTGTACAAAGAGAGCTTGCCATTAAAAAGATGAGCAAAAATATTAAAGGTTACAATTAATCTTAGTACTTGCAAAAAAATAACAGATTACTCTTATCATCACTTCCTAATAAATGTTGTCATACTATTACAAAATTACTCCAAAAATTGATTCCATCACATGTAATTTATTACACGTAATGAGTGCCAGAAAAGACTGAAAAGAAGTTACTTTTTGTCCTTCGCTGAAAATGCACACGTTTTACTATTTCAAAAATATATATGAAGGCCTCGAGAAAAAATGCAATGTACTGTAGATCTCTATATTCCCCTCTCCGATAACCTTTATCTTTCAATTCATTCGTTTATTTTGTTACTGATATGATGAAAATATTATATTTGAAATGTTGTGGAATTCATTCAATAGGGTGTATTAATTTTGCAGTCTATGTTAGAGCGCAAATTTTATATTTTTTTCAATATTATTTGTACTGCTGAATGTTAAAAACCTGCGAAGTGCAGGCTGGTTGCCGTCTGTCAGTTATAAGGATGCAGAAGCCTCGTCAAGTTCAACGTTTTGATTTCTTTCCTCTGTAGTCTCCATAAATGTTCACGATGTCTGATAGGAAACAAAAATTTTAATTAGTTGATCAAATTCTCATACTGCAAAATAAATATGACTATTCAACATCCAGTGAAAGGCTCTCATACACTGATCACCATCGTCAGTTCTTAAGCGATGTAGTTATTAGGGACATGGTCTAATGTAGTTTGATGCAGAGGTCGTGGCGTTTACGAACTCGTTGGTGTTGATCATGTCTGGTTTAGAGGTATTAGCACCCGACAGATTAGAAGGAGTAAACGGTTAAAGATTATTTAAAAACTCGGGTGCTTATATCTCTCATATATAAACAGAGAATAAACGACATAATCTGAGGTCCGGCATTCACTGGGGCCTTTCCGTAGTGAGGGGTAATTTGACGTTTCGCGCGCGTCCAAGAAAGCAAAACTGAAGTCTCTTTATAGGGTGCGCGGGTTATTTCCTACAAGATATCATATTTATTCTACAAGTAAAGTACAAATGCAAATATCAACCACGTAAAATTTGGTGATCAAGTAGCATCACCAAATCTTAATTTTACCTTCACTCAAAGCGTAGGCAATCTTACTAGCCGTTGGGTTTAATCAACCAGCGCACAATGCACCACGTCTTTGTGTTCATGTTATTTTTGTGTCTGCAGTCGCTGGCAAAGTTAATCGAAGGGCAGGATTGGTTGCGAATTTACACCCTTATTAGGTATGTATACGTTTGTGAGTGTGCTTGCCTCGATTGCACTTTGACATGTGGTAGAGCCAATTATAGATGTGAATTTTGTAACCAAAAGCAATTTGGAACTAGTTCCAAACACGTTTGAGTGGGGTCGGGCTAATTAAAGCAAAAGTCAGGCTTCGGCGGGGTTCCCATCAAGATTGGTTTATTTGCGTAGGATTTGGGGTCAAGTCTGTAACGACACTGGTTAATTTTGTGTCTTAAATTTCGTCCGCATA